CCACCACCACAACCACAACCACCACAGACAGCAAACACAGCCAAAACGACAACAACAGCAGCAGCACCGAGGTACAACATCAAATCCCTGTCCCAAGCCTTACGACCACTGCAGTTTGCTTTCCCGTGCTCGGCGCCAAATCGCTGCCCGACTTCGGCGAGTGTAGGCGGGCGGTCGGTGTGAGCACCCATGTCTTGGTTTACGGGCTTACGGTAAGGATCGGTAAGGCTGTAGGCCCTGTGGGCATTTGGCGCTGCACCGAGGGTCCCGCACAAGGTTTGGCATTCATGTAACCTGCGCCTTTGCAAGGTGCATGTCCCTATCATATGAGGACTGCTGTTGCCGTAAACACCGAAGCATGTGGGCCGACTGCTGGTGACCAGAACTGCGTGCTGATGGCTTCCACACCCAAGCGATTGTGCTCTACGACGACATGTGCCCCTGAGCCTATCAAATCGAATCTTATTTCTCTCATAATTACGTAGTAGCCCCAACGCCGAATGGGCGTCATGATGAACATTGTGGCGCCAACTTTCGCACCGGATCATTAAATTGTTGTTTATTGGATACCCGTTTGCTTTGCATCGCGTTGGGCGCTTGGCCACACGGCTCTTGTTCCGTTTTTCGTCCATATCTTGATCCTTAGCTCGATTCTCGCAACAGGCCAGCTTGTACTCGTATCTCAGACGCGCAGGCGCAGCTTCCGTGCCCGATGGTGAGCTCCCTCACAGCAACTTGAGACGCGACCGCCCTAAGTGCGGCAGTGCCCAAAAAGGAGTCCAGAGCACGGATTTTGGTGCGACCTGAGGCTGTTGGCATAGGAATCGAATGACTCAAGCCGTCAGTGTTACATGTTGAGAGAGCCGAGGGTTTCAGTAGCATGCACGGCCTTCTTGGGCGCATGACCCTTGACTGCAGAGCAACAGCCATACCACAAGCCAAAAGCCATGCCAGAACCTTCTCGGCCAAAGCAGCCAAAGAGAGCCTGCGGCCCAACTCGCATTGCAGCCTGCGCGATGAAGCAGGACGGCACGCAATCAGGTCGTGTCGCCATCATCGGTGCTGGATGGTCGGGTCTTCAGTGTGCGCAGGGCCTCAAGGAGAAGGGTATCCATGTTGACATCTACGAGAAGAACAGTGAGATCGGAGGCACCTGGAGTCCGGAGTTGTCCTACAGCCACCTCACCCTCCACAGCACGCGCTGGGTCAACCAGATGACCCTGGACAAGGGAAAGTTCCTTCCTTTTCCGGGCGGCAAGTCAAGCGATATGGACGGCAAGGCCGATGCTGCCGAGATGTTTCAATTAATACCTGAGGGACTTCGTCGACAAAAGTGGTTTGCAATCCAACGTCCGCTGCAGCTCCTTCGTGAAGGAGGTGTACTATGATTCCGACTCGCAAGTCGCACACCTCGCTGTGGAGAAAGATTCGGCGTCAAGGACAGAAGGCCCTTACAACTACGTCATCTTCGCTTCCATGAGTGGTTCGCCGAGCATGCCGGATATCCCCAATCGCGGCTTCAATGGAAAGTTGCTTCACAGCAGCCAGCTCAAGGAGAAGATTGTGTCTGAGATCATCGATACCAAAGCCTCCGTCCTGGTCCTCGGCGCTGGCAAGTCGGGATGTGATATGATACAAGCTTTCCAAATCGCAGGTTACGAGAATGTGAATTGGCTCTGCCGCGAAACCTACTGGTTCTGGCGGCATGCTGCAATGTTCCACGATAGGTCCATCCTGGGCATGCTGAGAGCCGTCTGCTGCCTCTTGTTTGTTTTTTGTGCACTTTTCTCCCCGAGCTTCTGCATGTTCGGACTCTGGCTGATCGGGTATATCATTTTGCCTGGATCTCCCGGGTGGCCGAAGCACTTCAATGGCGCGAAGTTTCACTTCGGCGTTTTGTGTGATCGTCAACTTTCCTTCATCAAGAAGGTACAGCCAGTCATGGGTGATCCAGACCATTTCTGCAAGAACGGAGTGGTCTTGAAGAGTGGTGAGACGGTCGATTGTGATGTGATCGTTTGTGCCACGGGGTATGATACCGGCTTTGCCGCCCTCCAGTGCTACAAGGATGGCAAGGCCATCAGTGTGAAGGATTGCCCATTGTACGAACATGCGATCGTGCCATGCTTCCCATGCCTGATCAGCGCGACCACGGCATTCTACCACTTACGGCCCAATCCGGGGGGTCACCTTGGCGGAATACGTTGTGTATTGTCTGAAGAGGGGACCGCTCAGAGAAGAGATAATGCAACAAGCGGCAAGCGCCAACCTCTGCAAGCAAACATCCACGACATGCATTATTTTTACCAGTGCGACAATCTTGGTCCGGCAGTGGCTCCTCCTTTTCATCGACTTGTGGCGAGCCGGTGTGATATCATTGTCCGCCTTCCTTGAGATTGGCATAGCCACTTGGGTCACGGGGGTGTACAAACCACTGCGGCTCACTGTCGGTAGCTGATGCCTCCAATTCTTTCAAGTTCTCCATTGACTCTGTTTTGCGGGTGGTGTTTTAACTGACAGCACATCAGAGAGCCCTGGTTGAACAGGTATTGAATCGTGTCCGTGAGACAAGGCCTGTCTATCCCTTGCCACGACTTGCGGCTTACGCATTCTCAGATCATCTGCCTGTGAACTGGTGTAACAGTGTAACTAGTGCTGTGTGTCTTCCTATGCCACCGGCAGAAGTGCAAAGTTAATTGTATAGCCTTACGGACTGCTTGGCCAGATCTGCTTGAGCTCTTGCCACGGGTTTCTGCTTCGCCACAGGCTGAAACGATATACCATTGTTTGTTGCCAGGAAAAATCGGATATGAGCGAGCCTCGCAGAGTAAGCCTAAGCGTGTCAGTATGTGTCAGTATTACAGTATTACATGTTTTCTTTTGTTGGTACCTTGTGTCGTCTTGGTATGTTGTTCAGCTACGACACGTGGGGCGGGGCCTGACAGTATTGCGCCTTTGTGCAGTGGGCAGCTTTGCTGATAGCTGTTGGTAACCGCGGCACATACCAGCGTGCGAACAGGTTCACACACACACACACACACGCACGCATTGTTTCGAGCGCGGCCAGCAACACTCAAGCTGCTTTGAAGCCCCTTCACTTGCATTCTGCACGCCGCACTCCGTGTCATGGCCAAAGAACTTGGCCCCAGAGCCCGGGAACGCGCTCTGGCGGTTGCGGCAGATGTGGCGCGCCGAATCCAGGCACAAGTAGTGTATGCCTTGCACACCTGCAGTAGCAGCTCAGTAGCATCCTGCTCTGCGATGTTTGCACCAGGTGGAACTCACTCAGAGCGCCGAGTCGGTGGAACTGCCACCTATGCGTGGCAAGAGCGTGCAGAATCTCCGTAAGCTGAACCTCGGCTTTGACAGTCCTGACGAGTGGCTATCAACCATGCGAACAGACGACAGGCATGATGAATATCGTCATCAGCAGCAACAGATACTTGTCACTTGCTGCTTCATCGCCGTTGAACCAAGGAGTTTTGAGTAATACTTTTCTTTCACCAAGGTCTCAGTAGCTGCAAGATCGAGGCATAGGGCATAGAGCTACGTTGCTTCATGTGCGAGTTTGATTTGGGCAAGAGTTCGGAAGTCTGACGGCCTCTGCATCCGCGTGCGCTCAGGCCCAAACCTTGCATGGAAATCCTGGGCAACTCATCCTTGGGTTTAGCCTTGATAATGTCCGGCCTATCGCATAAATCCATGGAATCCACAAGGAGTCCCTGAGGTTGGGCAAAGAGGGTGTGCAAAGGCTGAGAAGGAAAAGACTGGCTCCGTTTTCTGGCAGAAAGGGTTCTGTTTCGAATCCACTGCCCCGAACCCCCACACCGTGAGCTCCTTGCAAAAGTCTACACATGCTACATCAGCGACGGCCTCTTCGAACTTGCATGCTTCAGTTTGATTGAATCCTGAACCACGAGTTTCCAAAAAGCAGTTCTGAAGCCTGAACTGATTGATGTCCAGCTTGCAGGGTGCCTATTGCCTATTGCATGCGAAACCCCACTGCAGGTATGGAATCGGCTCGCAGACAGCGGACGTGGCGTTGCAGGTCTTGCAACCATGAAATCAGAGACTTACGATTCTTCGGCTCTGGTGTTTGGGGACTAGTAACTAGCTGGTGGGGTTAGGACTGAGGTTCAACCCTGACTTTCCAAAGCTACAGCCCACAGGCCTCTTGCGCGCGTCTCTCCATGGCTGGTGTCACCCTGAGCCTCGGGACTGATTGAAAACATTGCTGGGGAAATTGTGTTCACGGGGGATTCACGTAGTGACGTTGATTTTATCAAGCAGCTCTTGGCTTCAACAGTGTTCCTCATGCGGTGTAAGGTGCTCAGATCCTCAGGGTACTGCACTCAACAACTTTTTTACAAGCCTTCCGGCATCGTAACCCCAGAGGATCCTGCACCCCAACAGAACGAACAGTGTGAATTGTTCTGAAATTGCGGAAATATGACTCGAATTATGACTATAAGTGTTCGGCATTTTCTGAGTTCCATGAATTTTGAATTATGGTTCTCAGCTTGGTGCACACCAGAAGGCACGTCGAAAGCTTCAACCTGTCAGGACTTAGAAGCCCGAAGAAACATGGAATACAACACACATTCTCGTACGTTTTCTGCGTGCCCCGAAAATCCCTCGCAAGAACCTATTGCCATTTTGTCAGATTAATGATTTCACGTCCCGGGATGCTACCCCTTTCAGGGCGATCCTCGTGGCAGTCGTCGTTTCTCGCCGCGATGTGAACATGCCAATAGTGGCTGGGATTGGACCTGTTCGTGACACTCGGAAGTTTTGACCATGCACCACCACAGTTAAGCGAAGGCAGCTCCCATGCTCGAGGTCATCGCTTTCCGAATGCATCACTATCACATATCGGATAGGTAGTGGCAACCGTGTGTTCAACTGAAGCAAAAAGGATGTTTATACTACGCTACGAAACAAACTTTCCGAAGCACTGTTGTGGCGCAGAACATGTCGGCTGCGCAAGATCACTTGTAGCATACCTGTCCGAGCACCGACGTCGGAGAGTCGTTATTGATCACAGGCGGTAAGCGGCCTCCCGCAGTACATATACTCGTACAACAAGATGCCAAAAGGAAGGAGTCTGATCCAGCTGTTTTTAGACTATGTCCTGTCTAGTGTAAATATGGTTCGAGTTGCTCGCAGAGAGTCAATGAGACGAAGAGAAGTTGGGAAGCTAAGCATTGAATGCAAGGTGATGCGATTCCGGTATGCATACATCTTAACTTGCTGCACAAGGTGAACTTCCAGTGCATGCATTGCGTAATTTGGCTCGCATAATTTGGCAGAGCGACATCCCTTTCTTAACCTAGCTTTGGGCCTTGGTTGTGGTTCCACGCCAGATCTCACAGTTGCCGGTAATGTTGCCAGTACACCACAAATCGCGCAGTAGGCAATAGTCATGTTGTGCAGAAGCGGAAAGTGCAATATTGCTGGCTAAATCACTGAACAGGCAAGTTTTAGGTTTTGAGAGAATGGAGTGTGGAAGGGATCGAAGGTTTGTTCAGACCATGGTCTTCTAACGGATGTTCATCCAAAAACGCGATCAACATACATTGCATTTTGTATGTATGTATGTATGTATGTATGTATGTATGTATGTATGTATGTATGTATATACACATGTATGCATGCATGCACGCATTATATGTACAGATATAGATATAGATACAAATGGGGAGAGAGAGAGAGAGAGATATATATATATATCGAACATATTTACGTAACATGTATATATACATAAATAAATAAACAAATATATATATATATATATATATATATGTTTTTTGTGCGCGAAACACAAAGTCAGCAACCAGACAGCCCTTTATATTCCTATGTCCTATAGGTCCTAGAGAAGCATAGGCTTAGCAATCAGAAAAGGTAGACAGAATATGCGAGCCCAAAAGATGCCATTGGGTGTGAATGGGTTTTCCAGGCATATGGTGCGGATTCCCAGGAGCACTTCAAACAAGATCGTGAATCTAATGAAGAACGCGACGGGTCTGCGTTTTCGCTGAGGGGCCTCATGAAAGGCACAGGGTGTGCACACCAGCGGCTCAGATTTTTTGTGAAGCCATGTGTTGCGAGGCGAGAGTATCCATGGTAGTTCTAGGCACTGGTGGCAGCATCTTGGATCTTCGTCAGAATGAGTTACTTTGTGAGCCAACGAAACTAATGTGGCATGTGCTGTCGCTTCCGACATTTATCGGCATATTCCATTGGGGGATGGCAATGGGATCTGTGTATGTGAATTCCAGTACAAGAAGGAGAAAACCGGAGTCGCAGGACACCAGCATTTCTACGTTGATAGGATGTAAATTTTAAGGTTTTTCAGGATTTTACTGCCCTTAAAATCCTTAAAATCCTTAAAATTTAATTGGCCGCCCCAGCCCCCATTAAATTTTACGGATTTTACAGATTTTAAAATCTTTAAAATCCTTAAAATTTAATTGGGCGGCCAATTAAATTTTAAGGATTTTAAGAAATTTAATTGGGGGCCTCCGGCCGCCAGCCCAGCCCCGCCCAATTAAATTTCTAAAATCCTATTGGCCGCCCAATTAAATTTTAAGGATTTCAAAAAAATTTAATTGGCGGCCCCCAGCCCCGGTCCCAGCCCCAGCCCCAGCCCCAGCCCCAGCCCCAGCCCCAGCCCAAGCCCAGCCCAGCCGCGCCCCCTCCCCACCCACAGCCCCAGCCCCAGCGCCCCACCCATCCCACCCCCGCCCTCGCCACCCTGCAGCCCCAAACCCAGCCCAACACCCACTGTGCCAGCCCCATCCCACCCCATGTCCACTCACCTTCTTCAAGGCATGATCAGCGGATATAACAATCGGAGCTCTGCTCCATACCGATCAGCGGATACAACAACCAGAGCTCTGGCGCATCCAGGGCCCGATCCGCATAGCCTTGGTGCATAGCGCCAGGACACGATAAGCGGTTTCAACAATGAGAGTTTTGATGCATTGCGCCAGGGCACGATCAGTGGGTTCAACAATCAGAGCTCTGATGCGCCAGGGCACGATCAGCGGATACAACATTCAGAGCTCTGGTGCATAGCGCCAGGGGGGTCATCGAGTTCTCCCCATTCTCCAGCATCTACTGTTTGCCTTCGGACGAATCCCGAAGCTCTCGCCGATTTGTGGCAGAACTCCCGAACCTTCTTTGTAAAGCAAAGCATTATGTAAATTTTTCAACTCCTACAAATTGCCTTCAGGCGAATTCCGAAACTCCCGTGGATTTGCTGCAAAAAAGCCTAATCTACTTGCAAAGTACAGCGAAAGCGCTGAGGTTTCGAAGATACTTCCACTTTACCTGCCAGCGCAGGATTTGAAGCTCGTGAGACACTTGCAAGCGCGTGATGATATATTTTGGAC